TTAAATTATATACTAATCAGTTTATTACTACCCTTTAAATAATAATCCAGAAATATTTCAAACTAGTAAAAATTATAGAAAAAGATGAAATCTTTGTTTGCAAAGTGATGTAATTTTTAAAACATGTTATAATTACTTCTTCACCCCTCAAAGTGAAGAAGTTATGTATCGTGAAAAAAATTTTGAAAATTTTTATTGCATTTCTTGACGAATATCAACGAATTATGACGTGCACAAAATTTCAGACAGAAAAAATGTTCTGTCTGTGTATCTGTCTGTGTAGTTCGCGATAGCAGCTACAGTTTTAAAGAGATTAAGTTCGTTGAAGCAAAATCGGTCCCAATGTCTAAACAATATATTAATGATATTCCACCAATGTGACTTTTTTGAAACGTCAACAAATGTGACTTTTTTGAAACGTCAAAAATTACTTTTGTTATAAACTCCACCACACGTCGAGTTTTACTACAGTGAGGAAGTTCTGATCCCCAAGTAATAATTAGCAGCGGTTTTTTTTGCTTGTTTTTTTGTAGTAATATATATTTAAATTGTTAATTTTATTAAAAAAAATATTTATAAGATAAACTTGTTTTTTTTTGTATTTAGGTATGTATTTATTTGAATAACTTAGTTACTTGAAGATCAAATATAAAACAATCGTATGTATATTTATAATGGGGAGGAATACAGCTATCCAAATACCTAAAAATATGCTCGATGTCCCATTTAAAAAATCGTGACTATGTGTGTGGCGCCCCTGTATATTCATTAAGTTCGACATAAACTCATAGCGCATATAAAAACTTGGTGAAATATGCTACCGACCCATATTTTATGTTTTTTCTAGTTGTATTTTAAGAATAAGAAATGGACTTAAAAAGTAGAATTTTCAGCCGATCAGCCTCTACAAAACAAAAATAAAAGATCAAATAGGTATAAAAACATGAAAAAACAAAAATAGTCAACTGTTAACATAATATTGGTAGTATTAATATTGTTGCATAAGGATTTGATCATGATTTCGGTATTATTTTAGAACAATCGTTGAGACAGTTGAATGACGCTCTGGGATATATTAAAGTACTTGCGCACCCGGGAATAGAAAGGCGCAAGGGCGGCTCCTCCAAGACCTCCGGCCCAGTCCCGCCCTGCAGTGTATGGTAACAACTGCATTTTTTAACTCACAGAAAAAAATTGACTTGTAGTAGCTTCAACTGTGTCAAATAACCGACAAATGTTTTATTTGTATAGCCATTAAACTAATTTGAAAACTAAATAAATTTGTGCAGATTAATAGTTTCAACTATAATTAATAAGCATTGATAATGATTATAATTTGTTGTTCAAGAAAATTATTGAAAAAATTGGGTGATAAACCCAATTTTTTTGTTTTAATTCCGTCTCTGTATTTTAAAAAGGTGCTGTACTTTAATGAAAATTATATGCAATAAAACATGTACATTCCTCTATAAGGATTTTCAGTACTGCAAGAGACACACAACAAGATAACAACAATGAAGGTAAGGAAAACGTTAAAAAAATATTAAATTACAATTTTACAATTTTAGGAATTTCATTTTGGAAAGGTGTTCGAAACGGAAAAAAATATACTATTATTTTTTGGATTTTATCCAGGTCCCAAAATAACACTTTTAAACTGGAAAAATGTTAGAGGATTTTTAAATTTGTCTATTACCATCCTTCAGTTTGTTTCTATGTTAATGTATTTTGAAGATATTGCTTACCCAATAGACACCTTTGTATTTGCGGTAACTCAAATTACATTTGTCTGCAAACTTATTCAATTTATTTTAAACCGAAATATGATAACCAGTATTGAAAAATCTTTAGAAAGACCAATTTTTTTACAGATTCTCTAGAATTTTTTTAAAAGTTATTGAGAGCCGTATAAATAATGCAAAGAAATTAGGCACCATTTACAGGACAATAATTACAACTTACTTATTAAGTAGTATCTGTTTGTTACTTTTTAAAAGCAATGCGAAAGAGTTACCTTTAGTTGGTTGGACACCTTATGATACTAAAAAAAATATATACTATTATCCTACTTTTATTTTTCAAATTATTTGTGTTGCTATAAGTGCCTATAATAATTCTAGTATGGATATTATCAATTACTTATTAATAACTATAGCTTCTTGTCAGTTTGACATACTTATGGATAATTTAAGAAATATTGACTACAAAAATGATGGATCAAAAATTGAAAATGATTTAAAAGTAAATATAGAGCTTCACGTGGAAATTTTAAAGTAAGTAGGTTATTTTGTTGTATTTATACTCTACTGCTGACTGCCTACTTACTAAGATAAAAATTACCAAACTAAAACTGGAGTGTACAGGGGCGAACCACGTATATTCGACCACCGCATTTGATTGCTTTATGACCTACTTAAAATATCTTAAAATTAAAGAAGTAAAGGGAGTCAAATCTACCCACCCGCTTGGGCCTGTCCGCCTGCACCGTTATCAGAATGGCAAGCCTCATGGGTATCTCTTCCGAGACCCTCCACCTGGGCTCGCCTCATACCAAATTTAAACAATATACACTACTGGTCTCGATTTCATGCAAAACCTGTGTTTAATGTAGCAGACAGTGGTGGAATATTAGAAACTTGGTAGACGATAAAGGCAGTGCCACATCGGCACAGAACAACGAGAATGAATATTATTTATTGCGGTGTTTCCGGTCCCTGGCTGAATTCAACAGTCGCTTGCACATTGTATCGTGCCGGTGGATATCCTTAGTGGCAACGAAGCAGTATACGTCAATTCTCTCCCACATATTTAAACTCTAATTCTCTTATTTTTTATCACACTAAATGCAGGTTTTGCATGAAATCGTAGCTAGTAGTATGTGTACAAACTCTCAAGAGATACAGCAAATAATCTTTTTTTATTTTCAATTTTGAAAGCTTACAAATTTTTAAGAAACATTTTTTAAATGGAAGTAAATTGTGCCACCGCCATTGTACTGCCAAAATCTGCAATTAAATTTATGGTATGCATTTATCTTACATCCTCTACATATTTTAAATATAGAGCTGTCAATACTTAAAGTAACATATTTGAAATTATACTTCAAGTATTTATTAGTACTTGAAGTATTTTACTTTAAGTACTTATCTGAGTAGATATTTGTACTTGTATTTCAATTATTCGCATAAAAAACTTGAATTTTTACTTGATTTTGTCAAGTAAGTTACTTTAAGTATTCTCAACTATACTTGAGGTATTACCAAGTAATAAATTGTACTTGAAGTATTCTTGGGCTTCTTCAAGTAAATATTGTGTGATACTTGCACTCTGAAACAATTACTTGAAGTAAAATTTCTTTTTCAATTATTATTTGTTTGTCAAAACTCACATAAACAAGACCATACAAGAAATGCTTTGGACTTACTAGAATTACTTAGGGTTTGTTTAATTTAGTTCGATGCTACAACGCCTCGAGGTAACGTGCTTTTAAAAAGACATTTCTATAATTTTATCTTGTGTATAGTGTACAATAAGTAGCACAGTGCATTCAGTGATTAGTGATTTACAGAATTAAAGAGGAAGGTAGCATGTCAAACATCACTTAAATTTTTCATACAACTCTAATGTGAATCTGAAACTATTAAACCAGTTATCCATTCCAAAAATACAAATTGTGTTTAAATCGAAAGTTACTGATTTTTACTTAGTTTTTTATGAACCTTGTGTAATACTTCAAGAAATTTTACGTACATTAAGTATTCTATATACATAAATTACGAATCATACTTCAAGTACTGTTGTTTTGCTTCAAGTAAATTACTTAGTGATCAATTATCAAATCTTCTTGAAAATTACTTGATTTAAGTAAGTTTTAAGAAATATTGTACTTGATAATTCAAGTAATTTTTGATATTTGAATACTTGATACTTATACTTCAAGTACTTTCTAAGACTACTTGTGACAGCTCTGTTTAAATATAAAAATACCCCTTGTAATGCCAATTAAACCCCATGATAGCTCAATAAATTTAAATAAAAAATATGAATTTGACTTCTTAAAGTGAGAGGGCGCGATCTCTGTATCAGTCCCTGACGATGATCCAGGTGGTTGATTACGTACATCTTAACAATGCGGAATAAATCCCTCGACTTTCGACTTAAGCCCGTCTTAAAAGACGAATATCACGCTCACCACCGTTCTTCAAAAATGGTCGGTTGGTTACTGGAAAGTAACCGGTTGTAAGTTAACTGGTTAACCATTTGAATTAATATAACCTGGTGAAATTAACTGAACTAAAATAGTTGGTTATAACAAAAATAAACTCTTCCAAGTTTCAAGATTTATCTTAATAAACTTCCATTTCCAGGTAAAACACAGTGACGGCTGGTAAATTTAGCCATTGATAATTTTCTCATATCTTCATATTGGAGCATGGGACTATAATTTAGTTTAGGGTTTTATTGAAGAAAACAGAAATTAGATAACCCACGAATTGAAAGCCAAAGCTGTCTAGAACGAGGTTACAAAAACGTGGACTTACAACCATTCCCACCAACATTGTCAGTGCCGGTAGAGGGATTCGAACTCTCAGCTACGATAGAAAGATTTTTTATCACGCTTTCCACTAGCCAACTACACCACCGAGGTTGTAGGTTTCACTCTATCTATAATAATCGTGATCGAAAATATCGGATCGGATTGCAAGATAAATATAATCTCCTTGCAATCGGGAGTCCTTTCTAGTAATATACCTGGTGATGGCCTTCACACCTAAACAAATAATGATGGCTAAAGAATGCCAACTTTGATATATTCACAAAACTTGTTGCAAGTTAGAGAGCTGCTCTTTTAAACTCCTCTCCTTTTATACCCGTTAATCAACCCGATTTCGTCACTCAGTTTCCTAAACCTTTCTAATCCACTGTCACTTATGTCACTCACACATGCGCACTCTGTCCCGCACTATTTTACAACTAAAGTTCATATCACTCATGTTCGCGTTCACGGTAGCCGAGTAGGTAAGGCGCCTATAGTCATTTACTCGGTACCGAAAATCGATGGTTCAATTCCATCTTGGAGCAAGTTAGAAATTTTATTTGTAATTTGTTTCGGACTAAAATGAGAGTGGGAATTGTCGGTGCTCTAGATGTGGTTCGGACTCCACAATAAACTGTAACTCTAACACAAAATCCTAGGATTTTTCGGAAGTTACTTCGGCGACTTGAGAGGCGATTAAGAAAACGTTTTTTAAGAAAAAGTCATCAATTTATGAATTATAGAAATGTAAATAAGTAGTTATTTTCATATTTCTTATTTTATAAAAATATTTTATTGTCCTCTGCAAACATTTTACAACTGTTTCGAACCCCTTTTCATTGAGAAACCAATGTGTGCCGTTTGTGTGACTTGATTTGGATATTTAAAACTGATAACGTGAACACCAAAATTCGTGATTTGAATTATAGTTAGATTAGAACTATTTGCGAATAAACTAACAAACTACGATAAAAGTAAAAATAAAAGTAAAATAGCTTCTAGGTCATGCGCGTGACAGGACCCAAATGGGGCATTATGACTCAATACTTAAATGAAGACGTTTTACAAAAAAAAAGATTGCACCACAAATTTTACCATTTTACAAAGATGTTTCAAATTTCAGCAAGAAATTTTGATATTTAAAGAGTTTTGAAATTTGCACAACGTAAAATTAACTTGAAATATAATTTAAGAAAGGTGTGTAACTGATTAATTAAAATTTCTTAATGAAATAATGTCTTGCGATTATAAAAGAAAAATATTGCAAATATTTCACGACAAATTACCAGGGCGAGCAAACCATTTTTACAAATTTTAACTGCAATCTTTTTTTGTAAAACATCTGCTGAGAGTCAAGCCTTCAGGGGACTCTTCGGATACCGTCAAAAATAAGATATATAGATATGTCAGCAATGTAATTTGGTGTCGGTAGAGGTTTGGGTCTCGACGTCCCATGACTAATATGGTTACTTTTTTTGAAAAATTTTTTTTTCGATTGACAAACGTTCAATATATTACCCTCAGGAGGCCCTTTTTTGAAAATATGTCCAGTTTTTTTTTTTAATTCAAAAAATCATCCAAAATCACGTTCTTTTTTTTTGTACTTTTCGTGAAAATTTCAAAAATCGGCTTCCTGAGGGCAGTCCTTTGAATATTGTTCTATTAAGAAAAACTTTTCTTAATTCATATTATTATTTGCTTAGCTTGCCTTCTAGTCGTCGAGAGCCTAACGCTCTCAAATCGATAATTTTTCAAGGTGGTCAGTCCTCTTAAGGTATCTTTTGGATCCCATGCTTCAATATTAAGATATGGCATCACCAAATTTACTGGCTGCTACTACACTTCATAGTTACTACAAAAATGACAAAATATCAATGAATAATAGACGTAAACATTGCAAATAATGACGAAACGAAACGTAAAATACGTTGGTGATAGCAATTTTGGAGGTGAGATTTGTGGTCGATGCGGAGGCTAGAGCTCGATAGACACCACACCACTCTGGTGTAACAAAATTTAAATCTTGCTTTTAAAAATTGTAATTCCTGTTCGATTATTTGATTATCGGATGCATTAACTAGTTATCTGGTTTAACTGTATGATTATTTTTGCCATCCCCATACATTGTTTTATGTTAGGGAAGATATCGTACATGAGTTTATCGGAATGCTTCAGAAAGGGAATTTTTTATGCGACAATTTTGATTTGGGCTTCCAGGAAACTTTGTTGTGTTCTTTTTGCTGCCTTGAATAGTCCTACAACCAGTCTTGTGGTTCCATGTTCTTTTACTAACCGCGGGAGTATATCTAGTCATCTGCATAATAATGAGACATGTAATATTCAAGTACTACTCTGGGGAGCTCACATTTAAAGCTCAACAGCCCTGTACCCCCACCCCTTGACCCATTTTATATAATACCGCTTTACATTTAAGTATTACTTTCTTATTAATATTATGAATAAAGTATTAAATTCTTGCATGCACATTTTCAGGTTTTTTAAAGTTATAAACAATATGTATACGAATATCGTGTTAATACAATGTATTGGAAGCGTTGTTGTGATTTGTCTAACAGAATTACAAATAATGACAGTGAGTATACATATAATAGTACAAATTTCAGTACGATTTACATATTTTATTTAAAATATTCCGCAGGTTCCCCTCTTTTCCTTTCAGTCCACGAGGCCAGTGATATTTCTTCTTTGCATGCTAGTACAAGTTGCTATTTATTGTTGGTGTGGGCAAACAATTATGATTAAGGTAAGACATGTTTCAACTTATAGGTATCTTTTAGTAAACGACACTAAATACTATTACACTAAATTCGTATTTTGTGCCAATAAAAAAATACTAGATTTAATAATAATAATAATAATAATAATAACCAATCACGGGGTCGATAAAGCCAAGCGGCGTGTACAAAAAATCGAAGGCAAGATACAGTCGGCCAGACAACACGCTTCTCGGATCCAGAGTGTGGTGGAATATAAGACGACTGGTAGAGTTTTTACTCCCAGGATCCGGCGCATAGCTGCCGAATTAAGGCGTCAACACCATACTCTAAATCTGACAGTGATGCTTACCATCAAGCAGCACTGTCTAGATAGGATCCGAGCGCTCATGGCGATAAAGAAAACATTGAAGAGGCGGGTGAGGAGTATGGAACAAAACAATTTGTTCCGTACGAATCCTTCCCGCCTCTTTCAAGAGCCACAGCGTGTTGTCGAGAATCCTCCGACTGTAGAAGATGTCGAAACCGTCTGGAAGGGAATCTACGAAACGACGCGTCCATTCAATAGCGACACTCCATCAATTGCACACGTCGAGGCTCTGTGTCACAGACATGTTGAAGAGCCAGAAGAAGTGTGCCCGGCAATCAGTACGGAGGAAGTCCAACAAGCACTTGTTGGTACCAAGAACTTCGCTGCCCCGGGCCCAGACGGCATTAACAACTGGTGGTGGAAGAAATTTCCTTCCATTCACCGCCGTCTGGCGCGAGTTTTCAACTCATGGTTGAACGAGGGGCAGCAGATTCCGGACTGGTTCGTCGAGGGACGTACTGTGCTTATCCCCAAAAAGGGGGATCTTTCCGACCCGAGGAATTATAGGCCGATTACCTGCCTTAACTCCTGCTACAAGATATTTACACGTATCTTGTATGCTAGGACGCTGAGGTCTGTTGATCTGGTCTTCCAGCAGATACACGAACAGCGTGGTGCCAAGAAGGGCATGGCAGGTTGCAAGGACAGCCTGCTGATAGACCGCTGTATTACACAGGATTCTGTGCAATACAAGCGGAATCTATCGATGGCCTGGATTGATTACCGCAAGGCATTTGATAATAATAATAATAATAATAATAATACCTTTATTAACCATTGTGTGATACATAACATGTATATATGGTAAGTCAAATAAATTATGTACAGTGTATAAAACAAACAGTAAAAATAAAACAAACAGTAAAAATAAAACAAACAGTAAAAATTAAACAAACAATAAAAGAAAAGTAGACAACAAAACAGTAACATGTATGAAAATTAATTAATTAATTATTGTGCCAAAAACTCTAAAACACTATAAAAAAGACATTTCTATTAAGTAATTTTTTGTAGCTGTCTTAAATTTGTTAAAGCCTGTTATAGTTTTTAGATGGTCAGGAAGTTTGTTAAACAGATTGATGGCGTTATAATTAGGCGAATGTTTATACAAAGTGGTAGAGTGAGGCGGTATTGTCAATTTGTTATTATTTCGAGTATTATAAAAGTGTGTATCTCCCAGTTTATTAAAATTTGTGAAATTTTTATATGTATAACACACACATTTTAGAATAAAAATACATATTACAGTTAATATTTTATTTTTCTTAAAAACACCTCTGCAGCTATCTAATAGTTTTAAATTAAAAATAAGTCTGATTATTCTTTTTTTGTGAAATTAGTACCGTGTTTATATTTCCGCCTGCACCCCATGTGACTATATTCAAGACAAATAGCTGTAGACTAAGGCATAGTAAGTATTTAACAAACCATTAGTATCAAGTACAGTTTTCATTTGAAGAATAGCAAAAAACGCAGAACTTAATTTGTTGCATACAAAATCTATGTGATTGTCCCAAGAGAGTTTAGCATCGAGCCAAGTTCCTAAGAATTTTATATTTGACACCACATTAATATTGTTAGCCAGTAGAAAGTTTGGAGTAAGTCCTCTTCTATTATGAAAATTTATGAAAACGGTTTTTTTATCATTCAATATAAGTTGATTACGCTGACACCAGGTATCAAGCTCATTGCAGACATGAGTTATATTTTCAGCTAACTCCTCAGGGGTCTGTGCTGACACTGTAATGGTAGTGTCATCTGCGAACATTGTAACTCTACGTTTTGTGATGTGCTTTGGTAAGTCATTCACATATAATGCAAACAGTAATGGTCCCAACACAGAACCCTGAGGAACTCCCATGTGCACATCCCTCATATCTGACATAGCATTATTATATTTTACCAGCAATTTTCTGTTGGACATATAGGACTCTAGCCACTTCAGTAAAGTTCCCCGTATTCCAGTATTGTATAATTTGCTTACTAAAAACTCAACATTAACAGTATCAAATGCGCGAGAGAGGTCAAACATTAGTGATATAACGTACATTCCTCTATCAAGGTCTTTATAGACAGGATCTAAAAGATAATAGGAAGCAGTTTCAATAGATTTTGTGGATATAAAGCCATGTTGGCAGGGTGAAATAATATTATGCAAATGTAAAAATTTAACCATCATGTTGTGAACCAGCCTCTCTGTTAGTTTTGAAATTACACTCAAAAGTGAGATTTGCCGATAATTGGCTATATTATGAGGATCATCTTTTTTTGTACAATGGTATGATACATGCTATTTTTAGGATGTCAGGAAAAACCCCAGATTCTAAAGCTGTATTAATTAGATATTCAAAAGGTTTACTTATAGTGTCACTAGTGCGCTTTAATAATTTGATAGTAATTTCGTCAAGTCCAGTTGAATTTTTATTTTTTAGATTTGCAA